TCTTAGGTGATGACCTGATGGTGATCTGAGAACCACTCTGGGAATAGCAATGACATAAAGGTCCTTCTATAAGCTACCAATTAAAAAATGGAATCCTGGTAGTGGTTAGTGTTTAATGTCTAATAGATATTTTAGCAATCCCATTTCCTTCTCACCTATCTTTAACCCTCAATTTAAGGGGCTAAACTAGAGTGAAGATACTTGTAAAATGATATTTTATTCTAAATGATATCTCAGAATAAAAATAAACCTGAAGTTTGAGGATAGGAGAAATGAGAGATATTAGATAAGGATACAAAGTTTCAATTATGCAAATTATTTCAAGTAAATTATGCAAATAAATTTGGAGATCTCTAGTACAGTATGATGATTCTAGTTAATAAAATTGTATTGTATACTTGAAATTTGCTAAGAGAATAGATCTTACATGTTTTTACTAAACACATACACACAATATAAAATTATGTGATGTGATGGATATATTAACTAGCCTAATTGATTGCCACTTTATAATATAGACATATTTTAGAACATGCAATTTTTATTTATCAATTGTACCTCAATAAAACTGGACAATTCTACAAAAGTCTTAAAATCAGCCATATACTAATGTAATAAAATATTCCTGTAAAATAATTTTTCCTACCACACCATGATTTCCTCTATGTACACTGCAGTTAGAACATTTTATGCTTCCTCCAGAAGGTGTGCCGTAATAAAAGGTTGTTGAGAATGAGAGTCAAATTCCCATTGTTGACAATGAGAGTCAAATTCCCCACTTCAAACTTTCAAAAGCCAAGTTCAAGGCCAATCATTATTTGGAAGAGCTAGAAGGTGCCATCACTAAGTGAAAGTCTATACTCTGTCCTTGCAGCCTTCCTCCTACCCCAGGGTAATGACCCTGAACTAATAAGGCTCTAGATACCCCTGAACCTAGAGAGGATGAGAAGAAATGGCCCTGAAGTGTATCTAGGCAAATGACACTAAGGAAGCCTCAGAGGTTTCCAGAATGTTCACAGGATAGAACCTAACAGATGGATTACTGACATTTCAGTTTAGAAGAGTAAAATAAATTTTTCAGGGTATTTCAGAAGGAAATAGAATTACCTCTCAAAGAGAACCTGAGATGAGACACAAGCATATGTGGATAGAGGATAGATGACCAAGAATCAGACGACTCATTCTTTGAAGCCTTACTCTACCCACATAATTCCAAGAAAGTTTCTTCTATAGACAGACAGGACATTTGTAAAAGGAATCAAAAAGGAAGTTGATACTTCCCACTGACTGGGATCTGAGGTTCATGCCAATTGATAGGTATAAATCTTCAAATATCTACTAGTGTGTTTTACATACAATGCATATTCTGTATCTATTTGATACATTTCTTTGCTCCATATTTGTCTATCTCTGTGGCCTTAGATCTCTGTTTTTTTTCTCCTGTATGGTAACTATTAGCTATATGTGATTCTTAAGGACTTGAAATGTGGCTAGTATGAATTAAATTGTAATGTAAGTGTGAAATATATGCCAGATTTTGAAGATTTAGCATAACAAGAAAGAAAAATATCACCCTAATAATGTTAATATTTCTAACATATAAATGTTAGTACATCTGGACAAATAGAATTAAATAAAATACATTATTAAAATCAATTTCATATTTTATTTTTACAATTTAAAGAATGTGCATACCTGGAAATTGAAAAATTTCTCTGTGACTTGCAGTATTTGTCTATTGAACATGTGGCCCTGTATGCTCATCCACATTGATCTCATTTGCTTTCACCTGAGGAGCCACCACCATTGCTTAATTCTTTCCATATGTAAGTGCTTTTAATGACTTTATAATGATGATGTCTGGGATTCCTAACAGGATAAACTAGAAATTACTCAGAAAATGTCTTGTATCTCATTTCCTGTTGATGGGACTTGGGAATAATCACTGGGAATGATTGCTTAGTCTGTAATTTGTACAAAAGGGAAGAGATTTTTCTCTACAGTAATTAAGACAAAGCCATTAATACAACTGATGATTTTTTTAAATGCCTGGTTACTAAACAGTTAGTCAAACCATAAATCACAAGTGAATCAAACAATGATAAAATATTATCCTGAGTGTCTAACTTGGCTTAGAATTATTATCTAATTAATAATTTTAATATAAAATGTATTAACATACTAAAATAGGACAATTTGAAGATATTTTTATAAATGTATAAGGAAATATCACAGAGAGCACAGTAATTGAGAAATAGTAGTGTCTTCAATTTTATGTTTAGTTCTTGAGTAGGCCATGGGAAAAGTGTCATAGTCTAATCAGGCTGCAATAACAAAATTCCACCATTGGGTTGCCTTAAAAACAATAGATATTTTTCACAGTTATGGAGGTTGAAGATCAACTCACCAATATGTTCTGTGTCAGGTAATGGCACATTTTGTGGATTAGTTGGTTACACTTTACTTGTCTTTGCATGGTAGAGGAGGTAAAGGTCTCCCTCAAGCTTCTATTTTAAAGGTGCTAATAATATTAATAAGCCCACCATCCCAAAACTTAATCAATCCCTAAAAGCCCAATCTCCTAATTTCATCACCTTGGGCGTCTGGATTTCAAAATTGGAATTTTGGAAGGACACAAACATTTAAACCACAATAGAAAGGAGCTATCACCTTCACTTAGAGATACAGAGAGCCCTAGGGAAACTTCTGGGAATGGAAGCAGAGAAATGGATGCTTTGATTTAACTCTCCCCTAATTCTGTAATCTGTTATTAGTGTTCTCCATTAGTCAAACCCAAACGAGAGAGTATGGGGATTATGGTGCCTTGTTGATGTCGTTTATACAAATAAGTTTCCCAGAGCAGTCAGTAAGGAAAATGGTGGAGAATGGATCTGTAGGGGAAAAGAAAATATACATAGGGTATTCTGTGTTTTCAGACTCATTCCCCATAATGCACATATGTCACCATCCCTCCCTTACCCTTTAATACAAAATGAAGCCTTAAACCAGGATGTGTGTCCACAAACAGTGCTCTAGTTTCTCACACTGCATATTCTCCTTGGCCTCATCTACCCCTACAACTCTGGTTATCAACTAAAGGCTGATGGCTTTAAAATCTACAATTATGCTCAGACCTCTCTCCTGTCATCTAAATGGCTGTATCCAAGTGCCTGTAAGTCAGCTTCACCTGGATGCCTCACACTCTTCTCAAATCATCATGACCAAGACAAGGTTAAAATTTCAATGAGCCTATTTTTTCATGTTTTAAAATGAAGACAGAAATGTTAGAAGAGCCTACTCAGTTATGCTTAGGAGAGGCTTACATAGGTAATTTTGGTTATTATAAAGGCCTGAAAAATTATGACACTATCTGTGTCCTTATTTCATATTTTAAGTCATAGTTTGAGACTTATGCAACTCACAATGTCCTAAATTTGATTTTTTTCCCTGAATATTCACTCAGTACTTCTTATGTGTCAAGAACTTGTGCTCTTATTTAAGTCTCACAAGCACTCTAAGATGATGAGAAAATTTAGGCCTAGAGGGGTGGTTTTGCACATGACATGGCTCCATAGCTGACAAAGGGTGGAAATGAGTTTCAATCCTAGATAGGTCAATTTCAGAGCATATGAAAATCTCTATAGTGCAGTGTTGAGTAAAATTCCTTCTTATTGATAAGGACAAAAGGGCTAAAAGGCCAAGAGCCATGTTTTGATGAGTCTGATACTCAAGGTAAAAAGATATAACAGGGTTGAAGGAATCTGGAAAAGAAAAATAATAGGGTAAAAACAGCTGAAATGCAGGATTTTTCAAACATTTTTTTTAAAATTTTTAAACCATTGGATTAAATACACTTTGTGCTAGGTATTGAAAATAGAAAAGCAATGAAGTCAATTTCAGTGTAGTGGGTAACAGGTAAATAAGTTTTAATAAATTTTAAATTAAGATACCTTAGAGTATAAGGTTCCCAGAACATTAGTTCCATTAAATATGGACAGAGAACATTCATTCATTTTATTCAGTCAAGCAACATTTCCTGATCACCTAAGACACCATGCTAGAAGCTGGATATATAAAATAGAAACATAGAGTCCTAATCGGGAAGAAACTCACAGCCCACTAAAGATGTTTTTGGGGGTGATAGCAAAATGGAGCTAAAAGATCATGGAAGGATTGCTTAGCCTAGAGTGTTCAGCCAGTGCCAATATACTTAGGAGTTACTTGAGCAAAAAAGTTAAGGCTTTGGGTTGACCTCAGAAGGTACTACAGTTCAGTGTATAGGTCTAAAAGAGTTTGAACCTTTTACTAAGACTACCCAATTTTTTCTTGATGGAATAGCCGGTTCACACATTTTTCTGTACCATTGGTTTAGTTAAAATAACAGTAACTCGGATGACAAGAGCATTTTTTTTTTTCTATTGAAATAGGGATGCAGTTTGCGGTTGCATATCATAGCATGTGGATTAAAGTACAATGAGCTGGATAGGGCAGGGACCTAAATGAAATTCCACAGCCCAGCAGGCAGACGACTTTGGGACAGTTCGGTCCTCAGCTCTCAAGAGAACTGAAGGCAAGATAGTTGGAGAACACTGGGTGTTGGAGAGAAGCTGAGTTAAGCACACGACCTGGAGAAGCCTGGAGAGCTTGTCATCTCCTCTGCTCTCTGAAACTCTCATTTAGAAAATGTCTCTGATGCATTCGTCACCAGGGACAGCGCTTCTGGCTCCGGAGTCGACCTTTGTACTAGCTGCGCTGGGTTGCCTGGGCAACCCTGTACGGAGGCCGCCACAGTGGCCTTCTAGCCATTGGCTTAGAGGACGCAGCGTCCGTCTGACGTCACTGCGCGGCGCCGAGGGCCGCCGCGTGAAGCTTCATTTGCCCAAACTGCTGCATCGGGCCACTGAGCTGTTGGTATTGGGGAGCGAGCGCTGGGCTGAAGCCCCACTTGGGGTTGCGCTGTGTGGATCGCGGCGGGAGAGAGGCGCGGTAGGAACGGGCTCTGGAACTGTAGGCCCCGGGCGCGGCTTCCCGGCTGGCCTGTTGCTGGCCTCGCGGGACTCGTTGCTAGGGACCCTCAAGTTTTTGAGCGAGGCGAGCGCTCCTTGCCTTTCCTGGGGTCGCGCTTTGGCTGGGAGCGGCCTTCACCCAAACCGGCTCCCGCTCTCTCCCCGCATTTTTAACCTGTCTTCTTCTTGACTTGCTCATTTTCTAACATTGACAGCACCACGGCCTTGAACTGGGTTGGTTATTTGGAAGTGGATGGTTGTGGTGGTGGTGGTGGTGATGGGGATGTTCAGGATTTATTTTATGGCAGAAAGGGCGGGTTATGTGTCTCCGTGCTTTGAGTTTTGAAGAAGTTTTAGAGATGGAACAACACGATATTCTTACGGTATTTGTGTATGTGTGTGTGTGTGGGGGGGTGGTTATTAAACTTTTGGAACTTTCTAGACACAGAATTAATAGGGAAAAAAAGGTGGCCTCAGTCTCTGAGAATGTAGCAAACAGTTTAATGCAGTTGTCTCAAAAATTGGGTGGGGGAAGAAAGTACACGTATGGAAAGAGATAGGGTATTTGAGTTGTTCCAAAACTGTGATTGTATGCTTTCCTGTTATTGACTACAGGTGCCCTCAGTACCTTGAAGGTCCCCTAAGGGAAATGCGACTTAGCAGTGGTTGGTTCCTTACTTGTCTTTGTGACATAGTTTAGGTGTTCCACGTTAGAGTCTTTATGGATTTTAATGTCTACTTAGAATCTTTGTATTATTTTATAAAAGAATGAAATGAATGGTGACCTTGATAGTATTTCTAACAAAAAATATTTCTTACTTCTTCCTCTCTCCCTATCACTACTGCTTTACAACACCCTCTACAAGTTTACAACATCCTCCAAAAGACTTGTTGAGGGTAAGATGAACTAAGCATTTTTCTTTTACAAACAACATTAAAAAAAAAAAAAAAAAAAACCTGAGCACACTTTTTTGCCTTTAAGATAAAGTACAATAGGTTAGGGGCTAGGGTTGTGGCTTAGTAGTGGAGCACTTGCCTAGCATGTGTGAGGCACTGGGTTCAATTCTCAGCACCACATATAAATAAATAAATAAAACAAAGGTCCATCAACACCTAAAAATTTTTTTTTTAAAAGTAATAGGTTAAGCAAGTGAAGAAATAAGTGTTTTGGAAATAAACTATGTAGCATGGGATATTATGAAAGTATACATACAAACTTGCATCATTTTGTGTGTGTGTTTGCTGAAACTTACATTAAGTATATTTGTTACACATAAAATTGTCTGGTATACTTAAAAACTCTGTAAGCTCAATTTTCTAGTGTGTTTTAAGTCTTTCAGATGAAGAGTTTCAGTGGCTCTGAACTCATTCAAAATAAAAAGCAGTACTTTACCATTAGTTTTTTTACAGGAACAACATTTTTACCTAAAGAAAGATAGAAATTCAGCTATAGAATTCCACAAAAAGGTTTTGCAGAGTTTCTAGTTAGGATTTAAAGATGTGCATCATTTTTATGTTTGTGGGTGGGCATCTTTGTAGTGCATCATCTCTTTAAGCTATGATCGCTATTATAATTTTCTTTCTTTTTTGGGGGGGGGGCATGGGTACTGGAGGTTGAACTCAGGGCCACTTGACCACTGAGCCATATCCCCATCCCTATTTTTATTTAGAGACAGGGCCTCACTGAGTTGCCTAGCACCTCGCTTTTGCCTAGGCTGGCTTTGAAGTCAGGATCTTCCTGCCCCAATCTCCCAGGCTGCTGGGATTACAGGCATGCGCCACTACAACCTGCAGCTATTATAATTTTCCCTAAAAAGAAATTGAAATTAAACTGGATCATCAAATTGATGTAGCCCAAGGTGTTAAACCAAAGTTTTTAAAAAGAAGGAGATATTTAGTCACAGTGGTCACATTAATATTAATGATAATACTAAAACAACAACAACAAAAAAAAAACTGTGTACCATGTGTACACAATTTTTCCTTAGCTTAATGTTACAAAATACCAGTGATGATCAGCTTAAAAAGAGGAAAGTTTTATAGTGACTCACAGGTTTGGAGGTTTCAGTCCATGTTTGTTTGGCTTGTTACTTTGAGACCTTTGGTTAGACAGTACATTATAGAGGGAATGGTTGGTAGGGAAAACCTGTTCATTTCTGGTCAACTAGGAAGCAAACACAATGAAAGAGGAGGGACTGAAGTCCTGAGATTTCCTTCAAAGGCATGGTGCCAATTAGCCAGTCACCTAACTTCCTTCCCTTGAGCCTCCATCTCCTAAATGTTTAACACCTTCTAGTAGGTAGCACTATGGACTGGGGAATAAGTCTTTAACACATGGACTTTTGGGGGATGCTTTTCATAACTACAGCATACCATTGTAATGAAAATAATATAATAGCTAACATTTATATAATACTTCCAATGTGCAACGATTTCTTTGTTTTATGTTTATTAACTTAGACTTCATCAACACTTAGTATAATCACTGTAATTATTTCCAATTAAAAAGTTTTATAGAATCTTACATCATATTATTTTCCCTCCAGGAGCTTCTTAAAACAGAGGCCAGGCACAATAGTAAGTAGTTGTTGAGTGATCACTGAGCTGTCATAGTAGGTTAACATATTTAAATCTTTAGCTTATTTTAGCATATTATCTGAGATTTTTATTATCATATTAGTAGAAAATGCCTTGAGGATGAAGGTAACATGGATATTAAAAAGATGCCTGCTGCTTGTGGGATGAGAATGTAGTCAGTGTATTCAATTAAAAAAACTGAAATTAAAATTATTCCGTGTGCAGAAATAGTCTTTTCTTTTGTTTATCCGTGCCTAGAACCTTAAGCTGATACACTATGTTTGAAATATTATTTGGCTAATTTTTTTTACATGGAGCTTTGTCTTTTTGAAGATTTCTAATTTGTCAAGAAGATTTAAATCATTTTCATGTGAGCAATTATTTAAGAAAGTATTCTTGTTTATCCTGAAGAAGAGAAAACTAAAGAGTATAAATATATCAAAATTTGCTGGGTGCAGTGGCACAGGCCTGTAATCCCAGCAGCTTGGGAGGCTGAGACAGGAGGATCATGAGTTCAAAGCCAGCCTCAGCAAAAAGCGAGGCGCTAAGCAACACAGTGAGACCCTGTCTCTAAATAAAATACAAAAAATAGAACTGGGGATGTGGCTCAGTGGTTGAGTTCAATCCCCTGTAACCCCCCAAAAAACAAACAGTCAAAATTAGTTTTACTGTCATGTATAACTAAAAAGAACCAATAAAAACTTCTAAAAAAAATGGTGTCCTTATATATTTGGAAAGCTGTCACTTGGAAGTGTAAGAGGATTTGTTTGTGTCACTTTCAGGGAAGTGAACTTCTTATACTGCAGTTGAGGGGCAGTGTAAAGTACTATACTATTTTAAACACCTAAACTGGGAAGTTTACTAATGGAAGAATAACTAGTGTCATGGAAGTGAGGGAAAAGTAGATAGTGAAGAGAAAAAAAACAGTGTTTAAATCAAGTATCATAGAAGTGTACATTTGAGAAACCAAGATTAGGAAAGGCTACGTGGAAATTGGGAATGGAGCTAGACCTATAATTCAAGCAGACAGTTGGGTATATAAGTCTGGAGAGGTGTGTGTTTATTCCTTGCTTGAGGAACAGATTTAGAAATGATTAGGTTGGATGAAATGGGAACTCTTGGAGTAGGACCTTTGACCCCATCCATCAGTAGAAACAGAACCGTAGAAGAGGGAGAAGTGAACTAGTATTTCCTGGCTGAGCAACTTGATGTATAACATTATTAATTCCTTCGCAACAGCTTTGGTAAGGTTTTATTATTTCTTTCCTTTAATAGGCCAAGAAGTCAAAGCCCAGGGATGCTAAATAATCTGCCTAAATTCATAAATTTTGTAATTGGAGTTGAGATGCTGATCCAGTTATGAGCCCAAAGCCCTGTCTTCCTCATCACATGTTCATCACATCCATAGGGTTGAGTGTAGGAAGTGACGGAAAAGGAGACAGTGAATATCCTAAGTTTTTCTGTCTGGAACCAGAAAATTGGTAGTATATTGAATTAAAAAGGATTTATAACTTCAGTGTGACAAACCTAGTTTAAGTGGCCATAAGGAACTTGTCGAACATTGGGTAGAAGACTTCATTATGTCACTGAAGAAGTAGGTCATGATACGCAAGCCATAACATTTAGAACTTAGGAATTACAGAGGCCAAAGAAGATGGAAAGGCCACCCCTCTTAGAGGCTTAGTATATGTTTTCTAATGTGGGCAGAATATTGCAGTTGATTTTCTTAAGGTATATTTTGACAATTTATATGGAAAAATGTTTTATACCTCTTGTTTCTTGCAGATTCTTTTTATTTTGCAGTTATCGAAACCATTAAAATTGACATAATTTGATCTTTTTCCATTAGTCTTTTCAGGCATTTGGCTATGCACCAATTTTTTTTTTTTTTGAGTGTCTTCTACTGTATTTTTTATTCCATTCTGTTTTGGTCTTTATGATGATAACAGGTAAACATATTTCAAAATCAAGTTTCATTTACTTGCAGGAATAAACAAGAAACTATGCAGAAATCCGAATGCCCTGGAGGTTTGCAGTTGAGAAACAGGGTGACAGGTACAGAACTTTTCTTTGCTGTTTTTCTTTTTTTCCCTGTGATACTGGGGATTATGTGTGTTCTTCCCTGCCTCAGCTTTGCTTTTTTAAATGGAGAGACCAAGTTTGTTAGTAAGACATTATATATGGATGTAGGATGACTGTTATATTCTCTTTTTTTATTGATTTTCTGTTTTTTTTCCAGGTAATTATCTTCAAAGGACATCCTCAAGTACACCAGTAAAACAGAGGACTGCAATTCAGCAAAGCAAATCCTCATCATCAATAGGTTCTCCAGAATCTGCAAAAAAACTTCATCCTCGACCAAGTGATAAACTTAACCCTAAAACAATTAATCCTGTAAGTACAATAAATATTCCTAAATTGGTAGTTTTGTAAAGGTAATAGGATTTTGCCTGTCAGTGTTGAGCCATTCTGATTGTTGTCCCAAGTTTCCACTGTTTCTTTTGAGCTAGTTTAGTCAGCTTTGGTATGCCCTATCATCACTAGTCCAAAACTAGTAAAGAGAAGACTCTGGATAACTTTCAGAATGCTTTAGTAGCACAGGGTACAAGTTTAGAATTAGCTCTTTTTTCCTCTGGAAAAACATGTGGAAGACAAGTAATGACTTGAGATATAAAATTAAATTAAAATGAAGGATTGAGTTATAAAGCTTAGTTCACATTCTGAGTAATAATTCACAGCAGAAGGAGGGTTTCACTCATGTTGATATAATTCTTGCTAAGAAATTTAAAGTTTTTAAAGTTGCTTTCAAATAATCAAATAAGTAACTTGAAAACATTCTGTTTTTACATTTCTGCATATGATGTTTTAAAAATCAGTTATATTTTTAATATATGTTAATACATTTGATTTTGTAATTTAGTAACTGTGTTTCATATGATTATGTTTAAAGTACTATGTAGTAAAATATTTTGTGCCTAAATTCTCTTTGAGTCACTGATTATTAATGTTGACATTATATGTGCTGTGATTGTTTAATTCGTTGTGATTGGTCATCTCTTACATTATTTGAAAGTAGGTGTAGAACTCATCTATTAAGATAATAGCAAACTGAAAGGTGGTGAAGTTATATAATCTTAAGAAGGTTCAGCCGAAAATATGTTGAGATTCTTTTTTTAATTTTTTTAGTTATAGTTGGACACTATACCTTTATTTTATTTATTTTTATGTGGTGCTGAGGATCGAACCCAGGGCCTCTCACATGCTAGGTGAATGCTCTACCACTGAGCCACAACTCCAGCCCTGTTTGTTGAGATTCTTGCATGAGCTTTGTCTCTGTCATTCTCCTTGCCTGCAAGCTAATTCTTTGTTTTTTTTTTTTTTTAAATAAAAGCCTAAAGCCAATTTGGAGAAATTCTACAGATTCTTTGAGCACACACAACATCTGTATTTGCTGGAGAGCAAATGGGAGATATATTCGTGGCTAAAACCAAATATTTCCCTGTATTTAGCACCCCTTCTCCATTGCAACCTTCACCTTGAAAAGGCAGAGTCAGGGAGAGTAGAAAGACCTGTCAATCCATATATGGTTTCAGCCACCTTCAAACCTTCTGAAACTTGTTAGAGGCTTAAAACACAAAGCACTGCGCTTTGTTGATGGGACAGGAGTGACAGTATTTTCATTTCTGTTACTGAATGTTAATGATGCATGTATAATACCTCCACAGTGTTCTGAAAGTCAGGGTGTCTATTTGCTTCTCATTTCAACAGGATTAAAATTTACTGGGTATTACAGAGTGGAGGTGATAGAAATATTTTTGTTTCATTTCAGTTTGGTGAACAGACAAGGGCTCCTTCTGCATTCTCAGCTATTTACTCTAAAGGAGGTATTCCTTGCAGGTAAAATCAATTGAATTTATAACTGATCATGTTATTCAAAATAATTGACTAAAATCAATACTGTATTCAGTTTAAACATAGTGAAAGTTTTAACTTTCAAGGTTGAAATAAAGATAATGTATTACTCTGGCTGTTGAATTGATATAGATCCCTGGACATGTTCAAGATAACCTTAATTCTAAAATGTAATTACAGAGTTCTGTGGTAAACTACCACCTAATTGAATGAACCACTTTTAAAATAATCAATTTAAGCATTTATACACTTGAGCAAAAGTGAAAGTTGACAATTTAATGAAGTAATATTCTTAATAAGTCCATGTGGCTGCTTTTACTTCCTTTGCATATCATTCCTGCTACATTTCTTCACAGTACATGTATTTTAGCCTGATCTTGATGATAGAAATTTTTATTTTCATTGTGGAAAAGCTAGTCACAGTAATATTTTTTCTTTTGGTTTTATAATTTAAAAAAAAATTAGTTTTAAATGATATTTTCAAATTTTGAGTGGAAAATAAGCTCAATCAATGGATGTGTAAATCAATGGATGTGTAACTGATATGATTCTGCAATCTGTATATGGGGTAAAAATGGGAGTTCATAACCCACTTGAATCAAAGTGTGAAATATGATATATCAAGAACTATGTAATGTTTTGAACAACCAACAATTAAAAATTTAAAAAAATAAATAAATAAAAGTCATTTGGATGACCAAAAAAATAAAATAAAATCTGATGTAAACTGCAAAAAAAAAAAAAAAAAAATAAATAAATAAAATAAAATATTTTAAAAAAATAAATCATTGAGATTATTGGATTTCCATTAAAAAAAAAGATATGTTTTTCAATTCTTTGTTATTATTTCATATTTGAATTCTGAATTAAACCCCATTTCAAGGTTTTTAAGTGTCTCTTCCCACCAAACAATTGGTTTTGCTGAAAATGTTCAAGTAGTATTATAGAACCTCTTGCCTCTTGCTTAATATAAAAATAACACTAAAGAAGAAGCCAAGAAATCAAGACCATTATAAAAACTGTGAGGAAATATGTGGGGGTGATTAATAAGATTGTGGTCATGGTTGCGGCAGTGGCTTCTTGAGCATGTTCATCTACTGAGATTTATCAAATCGTGTGCTTTAACTATATATAATTTATTGTGTATCAGTTATGCCTCAATAATAGCAGTCAAAAAGTGGGGGGAGCAGCAGATACTCTAATTCAGGGGCTTCTGCTTTGTAAACCTGAAGGGGCTATTATTTCACCTCTTTAACAAGGACTAAACCTGATTTGCCTTCAAATTATTACTATTAGGGTTAAATGATCTCTATCTGAAAAACAAGATTTTTTATAAATCATTACTTTTCCTAATTATTATACATTTGAATTTTTCATTTCTATATGTTATTTATTTTGTTATAATTGGATTGAAAGATAATCTGCTAGAGCATTTGTATTAAGATTCACAAATAGTAACATACTTAAATACCATAATTGTAGATTTAACAAATATGGAATTACCAAACAATTTTTCTGAAAGAATAGGACTTTGCAAGATTATAGACATTGTTTTTTAAAATGTCCTTGTAATAACTTTTAAAGTTATGATATGCCAAGGTGTATATCATGGAAAAAGTAGATAATTCTAATGTGATTATACTCTTCTAATATATTATACTCTTCTAATATATACTCTTCTAATATATATATATATTAGAAGAGTATAATCACATTAGAATATATATTAGAAGATCACTGCTTAATACATAATTTATATTTTCCTTGTTACCTTCACTGACTTTTGTATTTTAGATTGGTACATGGTTCAGTAAAACACAGACTACATTGGGACTGTCCTCCTGAAAACCTTCCATTTGATCCTCTTCTTATTACTTTAGCTGAGGTAAATATTTCATTTCTCCTGAATATTTATGGGAAAAATATTTGAAAATTGCATTCATTACATGCTATATTATAGCTTTTCAGTAAATCTCATTCTGTACTTTTGAAATAAGAACCAAACAATAGACATTAAAACACTATTCTCCCTTAGGAAGTTATTAGGACTGTCGTGTGTTTATTAGAAATTGATTAACCAGCTTTATAAATATGAAATTAGTCTAATGGGGATTTGTAGATAACTGGTTGAAATATTCGTATTCAATTCAAGGAAACAGAAATACATAGAATCATAATTAGAAAGATTCTTTGTTTTTTTTTTTTGTACTAGTTAAAGAAGGACAGCAGGAATTGAAACTTAAATGACATGACGTTGGACACTAAGTGCTGGTTCTGTCTCTATACAATCAGTTGTGTTAGTATAGTGCATTTCTAAGGGAGTTGATACTGACTACCTTAAAGTCCATTTGGAGAAACCTATGGATGTGTGATCTATTTGTAAATTTCAAGGAGAATATCATGGAGGGGATTTCTGTAAAGGATTTTTAAAAATCTTCTGATGGGGTTCCCTTAGGTAATTTAACATCTGGGTCAGGGATAAAGCTGACTGAGTCTTAGTTTCAAGTGAATGGACATATCTCCTGTGAATTTTATTCCTAGAATTTGAATCAGAAGTTGAGAACTTAATTTACCAATTATCTGACATTTAAACTTAGTAACTTGCCATATTTAAGAGTCAAGGATCATTTTGTTGTTAAAAGCAAATTATTATATTAGAACTTCGATGATATTAATATAAACAGGTAATACCATCTGTATAAAATAAGTCTAGTAGTAAGTAATATCATAAGTGAAAACATGACAGTGCGTGAACTCAAGTTCTTTATTCTTTGTTTTTAAAGAAACACTTGCACTTTCTGTAAAAACTGGGGAGGAACAAGTAGGAGCAGGACAGAAAAAGTAGATAATTTTGCTTTGTGAGATTTTTAAATTATAATAAAACATCAAAATCTATAGTTCCTCTAGTTTTCCATTTGCACTTAATTTCTTAAGTGGACTTACTACTGAAGATTTCCCTGTTGTTTTTAATAGGACTTTGCTTTCCTTAATTTATAATTGCTTACAGAATTGTTTTGGTATTATAAATAGTATATTTTCCAAGATCTGAGATTAAGCTTATTCATGCTGTTACAGCTATAGGCAATAAGCAGTCTATTTGGGGGGGGGGGCGGCACCCTATTTTGAAGTTCATTTTTTAATTTGATAATAAAAGTTTTAAGGAATTAGTGATGTTTTCTTGGTTTTTAAAATGACCTTTAAACATTTTATATATAATAGCAAACTGTATTTTAGACAATTCAAAATTTACGATATCTTTGTGTATTACAGCAAATCACAGGGTACAGTGAATGTTTTGATTTGGGAAGTCCTTAAAGGTACTCTGACTTTAGACAACATAAAGTCAGTCCTGTTTATGCCTATTATCCAACACCAAAGCTTTTATTTCTGTATTGGGTAGAATTTTGTCTTTCCCTTCTACTCACCTAGTAATTGGTTAGTAGTATAGAAGAACCACCCTTGAAACCCACTTGAGCTTTTGACCTTCGATTCATCTCTACAATAACAGAATACAGGTACTTCTAAGAAGATAAAAACCTGTGGTTCAAAATGATGCCTATGTGTTTGGCAGCATAGTTTTCAAAAGCACAGTAGTGTTGAGGAAAGGGAGTGGTAGATCACTGAAAGCAGTTAGGTGTAAAGGATGAATCAGTTGAAAATTAATATTTTAAATGATGACTTTCCAGCCAGTTATAATTATTCAGTTCACGTATAATTAGTCAAACTGAAGGAGTTTTGTTGCTGCTTTTTTTGTTTTCCTATATTTTATGTTTTTGAAAAAAGATATCTCTTTATCTTGATTTACAGTGATTAGTTAAATCATGAAATAGTACTGTGTAATTATTTCTAGTGCATTTAAGGTGAGAGGCATCATGAGAAATGATCTACACAAGCTTATACCATATTTTTATTTTATATTCCATTGTTCAAAATGACATTTGAAATTTTATAGTGCTTCTTGCAGTATAAGATTTGGCTTCTGAATATCTTAATATAAAATATTTAAATATGAAGGAAATGTGGATTAGGAACTCATTAAGTAAGTTTAGAATTATTTTAAAGACAGGGGTCTAATGGGCATACATAAAGTGGGAGGGCTTAAACATACGTTTTAGACTAATTTGCTGGCTTTCAGATATTATTTGGGAATAGATATAAAATGATTTTGGTATTCTAGTGTGTTCTTCATATGCTTTTTTTCTCTTTTCAATTTTCTTTTCCCTTCCTTCCATTTCTCCTTTCTCTGACTTCTCTTCCTGTCCTACATTTTTTTCTTGGTTCCTTTATTTTCTTCATTCATTTCCTTTCAATTAATCCTAATCCTATCATTTTTCTTACTGTTTTTCTTTTCCTTTCCTTGTGTGTGTAGAGATTTCCCCCTCTTTGTGTGTGTCCTTTATTCCATAGTTTAGTGTAATTGAAATGTAAAATTACTGAAATTATATGATTAGAAAAATGATTATACTTTTGATTTTTTTATTTCATTTTTTAATTATTTTTTTTATTTATATGTGACAGAATGCATTACAACTCTTATTACACATATAGAGCACATTTTTTCATATCTCTGGTTGTGTACAAAGTATATTCACACCATTTCGTGTCTTCATACCTGCACTTTGGATAATAATGTCCATCATATTTCACCATCATTTCTAACCCCATACCCCCTCCCTTCCCCTCCCATCCCTCTGCCCTATCTAGAGTTCATCTATTCCTCCAATGTTCCCCCTCCTTACCCCACTATGAATCAGCCTCCCTATATCAGAGAAAACATTCGTTGTTTGTGTTTTTGGGATTGACTAACTTCACTTAGCATTATCTATTTTTAATTCCATCCATTTACCTGCAAATGCCATGATTTTATTCTCTCTTATTGCTGTGTAATATTTCATTGTATATATATGTCACATTTTCATATCCATTCATCTATTGAAGGGCATGTAGATTGGTTCCACAGTTTAGCTCTTGTGAATTGTGCTGCCATAAACATTGATATGGCTGTGTCCCTGTAGTATGCTGTTTTTAAGTCCTTTGGGTATAGACCAAGGAAAGGGATAGCTGGGTCAAATTGTGGTTCCATTCTCAATTTTCCAAGAAATCTCCATACTGCTTTCCATATTGGCTGTACCAATTTGCCGTCCTACCGCAATGTATGAGTGTACCTTTTTCCCCACATCCTCGCCAACACTTATTGTTGTTTTGTCTTCATAATAGCTGCCATTCTGACTGGAGTGAGATGAAGTCTTAGAGTGGTTTTGATTTGCATTTCTCTAATCGCTAATGATGAACATTTTTTCATATATTTGTTGATTGGTTGTATATCATCTTCTGAGAAGTGTCTTTTCAGGTCCGTTTCCCACTTATTGATTGGGTTATGTGTTTTTTTAGTGTTTAGCTTTTTGAGCTCTTTGTATACCCTAGAGATTAGTGCTGTATCTGATGTGTGAGGGGTAGAGATTTGCTCCCAAGATGTAGGCTCTCTGTTCACCTCACAGATTGTTCCTTTTGCTAAGAAGAAACCTTTTAGTTTGAGTCCATCCTATTTATTGATTCTTGATTTTAATTCTTACACCAAAAGAGTCTTATTAAGGAAGTTGGGGCCTAATCCCACATGATAGAGATACTTTTTTTTCTATTAGATGCAGTGTCTCTGGTTTTATTCCTAAGTCCTTGATCCATTTTGAGTCGTTTTTTTCAAGGTGAAAGATAGGAGTTTAATTTCATTTTGTTGCATATGAATTTCCAGTTTTCCCAGCAATTTTTGTTGAAGAGGTCTCCAATGCATGTCTTTGTCAGCTTTGTCTAATTTATGGGTTAGTCTCTGTGTCCTCTATTCTGTACCATTGGTCTACCCGTCTGTTTTGGTGCCAATACCATGCTGTTTTTGTCACTGTTGCTCTGCAGTATAGTTTAAGGTATGGCATAGTGATGTTACCTGCTTCACTCTTTTTGCTAAGGATTCCTTTGGCTATTCTGGGTCTTTTATTTTTCCAGATGAATTTCATGACTGCTTTTTCTATTTCTTTGAGGAATGTCATTGGGATTTTGATCGGAATTGCATGAAATATGTATGGTGCTTTTGGTAGTATGGTCATTTTGATAATGTTAATTCTGTCTATCCAAGAGCAAGGTAGATCTTTACATCTTTTGAGGTCTTCTTTGACTTCTTTCTTTAGGGTTTTGTAGTTTTTAGTAATTTTCATATATAGATCTTTCACCTCTTTCCTTAAGTTGATTCCCAAGTATTTTATTTTATTGAGGCTATTGCAAATGGGGTAGTTGTCCTCGTTTCCCTTTCTGAGGATTTGTCACTGATATTCAGAAATGCCTTTGCTTGATGGGGTTGGTTTTATATCCTGCTACTTTATTGAATTCATTTACTAGTTCTAGAAGTTTTCTGGTGGAACTTTTAGGGTCTTCTAGGTATAGAATCATATCATCAGCAAATAGACCAATTTGAGTTTTTCTTTTCCTAGGGGTATCCCTTTAATTTCTTTTGTCTAATTGCTCTGGTCAGTGTTTCAAGAACTGTGTTAAATAGTAGTGGTGAAAGAGGGCATCCCTGTCTTTTTCCAGTTTTTAGAGGGAATGCCTTCAATCTTTCTCCATTTAGAATGACATTGGTCTGGGGCTTAGCATAGATAGCCTTTATGATGTTGAGATATATTCCTGTTAGCCCTAATTTTTCTAGTGTTTTGAACATGAAGGGATGCTGTATTTTGTCAAATGCTTTTTCTGCATCTGTTGAGATGATCATATGATTCTTATCTTTAAGTCTATTGATGTGGTTAATTACATTTAATTGATTTCCATATATTGAACCAACCTTGCATCCCTGGGATGAATCCCACTTGATCATGGTGCATGATCTTTTTGATATGTTTTTGTATTCAATTTGCCAGAATTTTATTGAGAATTTTTGCATCTAAAGTTTTGTTTTGTTTTGTTTGTGTGTCTTTGCCTGGTTTTGGAATCAGGGTGATATTGGCCCCATAGAATGAGTTTGGAAGCACTCTCTCTTTTTATATTTTCTGAAATAAATTAAAGACCATTGGTATTAGTTCTTCTTTAAAGATCTTGTAGAACTTGGCTGTGTATTCATCCAGTCCTGGGCTTTTCTTGGTTGGTAGACTTGATGGTGCCTTCTATTTTGTCACTTAAAATTGATCTGTTTAAATTGTGTATATCACCCTGATTCAATTTGGGCAAATTACATGACTTTAGAAATTTGTCGATGCCTTTGATATTTTCTAAACTTCGAGTACAAGTTTTCAAAATAATTTCTAATTATCTTCTGTATTTCTGTAGTGTCTTTTGTGATATTTCCTTTTTCATCACATATTATAGTAATTTGAGTTTTCTCTCTCCTTCTTTTAGTTAGCATGGCTGAGGGTTTGTCAATTTTATTTATTTTTTCAAAGAACCAACTTTTTGTTCTATTAATTTTTAAAAAAAATTATTTCAATTTCATTGATTTCAGCTCTGATTTTAATTATTTCCTGTCTTCTGCTTTTGGTGTTGATTTGTTCTTCTTTTTCTAGGGCTTTGAGATGTAATGTTAAGTCATTTATTTGTTGACTTTTTCTTCTTTTAAGGAATAAACTCCATGCAATGAACTTTCCTCTTAAAACTGCTTTCATAGTATCCTAGAGATTTTGATATGTTGTATCTGTGTTCTTATTCACCTCTAAACATTTTTTAATCTCCTCCTTGATGTCTTCTGCAACTCATTGTTCATTCAGTATTTAGTCTCCATGTTGTTGGAGTGGCTTTTATTTCTTATTTTATCTTTAATTTCTAATTTTGTTCCATTATGATCTGATAGAATGAAGGATAATATCTCTACTTTTTTATATTTGCTAAGAGTTACTTTGTGGCATAGTATATGTTCTATTTTAGAGAAGAATCCATGTGCTGCTGAGAAGAAAGTGTATTCTCTCCTTGAAGGATGAAATATTCTATATATGTCAGTTAAACCTAAGTTATTGATTGTATTATTGAGTTCTATAGTTTCTTTGTTTAGCTTTTGTTTGGAAGATCTATCTAGTGATGAAAGAGATGTGTTTAAGTCACCCAAAATTATTGTTTTGTGGTCTGTTTGACTCTTGAACTTGAGAAGAGTTTGTTTAATGAATGTAGATGCTTCATTGTTTGGGGCATGATGTATATTTATAATTGTTAAGTCTTGTTGGTGTATGGTTCCCTTGAGCAATATATAGTGTCCTTCTTTGTCCTTTTCAATTGACTTTAGCTTGAAGTCTACTTTATTTGACATGAGGATAGAAACACCTGCTTGCTTCCGCAGTCCATGTGAGTGGTATGATTTTTTCCAACCCATCACCTTCAGTCTGTGGATATCTTTTTCTGTGAGTCTCTTGGAGGCAGCATATTGGATTTTTTTTTTTTTTAATCCGATCTGCTAGTTTATGTCTTTTGGTTGGTAAGTTTAGGCCATTAGCACTCAGGGTTATTATTAAGACATGATTTGTATTTCCAGCCATTTTCGTTTATTTTTGGTATTTAACATGACTTGGTTTCTCCTCTGATTAGATTTTTCTTTAGTATAATACGTCCCTCTGCTGATTTTTATCATTGTTTTTCATTTATTCTTCTTAGAATATTTTGCTGAGGATGTTCTGTATTGCCGGTTTTCTAGTTGTAAATTCTTTTAACTTTTGTTAGTTATGGTAGGTTTTTATTTCATCATCAAATCTAAAGCTTAGTTTTGCTGGATATTAGATTCTTGGTTGGCATCCATTTTCTTTCAGAGCTTGGTATATGTTGTTCCATGATCTCCTGGCTTTGAAGGTCTGGGTTGAAAAATCTGCTGAGATACGAATTGGTCTCCCCCATATGTGATCTTATTCCTCTCTCTTGCAGCTTTTAAGATTCTATCCTTATTCTGTTTTATTATAATGTGCCTTGGTGTAGATCTGTTGTAATTTTGTACATTTAATGTCCTGTAAGCATCTTGTATTTGGTTTTCCAATTTCTTCTTCCTACTTGGGAAATTTTCTGATATTATCTCATGGAAGAGATTGTGTATTCCTTTGGTTTGAAACTCTGTGCTTTCCTCTATCCCAGTAACTCTTAGATTTGGTCTTTTGATGCTGTCCCATAATTCTTGGATGTTCTGTTCATGGTTTCTTACCGTCTTCACCATGTGATCAACTGGATTTTTCAGATTGTATACTTTGTCTTCATTATCTGACGTTCTTTCTTCTAAGTTATCTAGTCTGTTGGTTATGCATTCTATTGAGTTTTTAATTTGATTTATTGTGTCTTTCATTTCAAGGATTTCTGACTGCTGATTGTTCAGAGTCTGTCTCTCTCAAAATAATCTTTTGCTACCTATATTTGCTCTCTTATCTCTTTGTTGAAGTGATCAACTTTTGCCTGTATTTGCTCATGTAGGTCATTCTTTAATGCATAGATCATTTCAATTATGAACCTTCTGAACTCCTTCTCTGACATGTCATCAACTTTGCCGTCCATGGGTTCTGTTATTATAGTATGCTGGTTTGTTTGGCGCACTTTCCTCCCTTGTTTTTTCATGTTATCTATTTGTCTTCCTTTCTTGCAGTGTAGATCAGAGGTGTTACAGTTTGTTTCCTATATTCTTGTAGTACCCGTGCAGATTGTTTGTACCTTGATGTTGGGCTTCCAGACCCTGCTGGTGTCCCTCAATGTATGCTACTGCATCTAAAGGTTGTGGCGGCAATAGTCGAGATAATAGTTTAAGGTACCCCAAGGTGGAAGCAGTGTCTTACAGAGATGGGGCTGAAAGGGATGGGCCCCACACTGCCTTTGGGATGCCTGCTCTGAGACGCAGCTGCTTCTATGCCCTGTCTGCTGTCAAAAGGTTAGGAGCTACTGTGTGGGGAAGGCTATGGCCATGACTGCAGTGTTCCAAGATGGAAGTGGCTTAGGCTTAGGCTCCCAGGAAGAGGGGGATGAACTCAGACCAACCCTGGACCTGGGCCCTGCACAAATCTGTGTGGACGGATCTGGGCCTGGCCTGGGCTCCCGTGGTAATCTGCTGGTCAGAAGAGGTAGTCCTGTGCCAGAGACTGGACTCTGGTGGGTGTCTGCCCCATGGGTGGAGGGGTGGACTCAGGCCTACTGTGAGCCTGGGTCCAGCACCACAGGCCAGTGTGGATGGATCTGGGCCATTGGGCTTGACCTCCCTCAGTAGTCCGTTGGTCAGAAGGGTGGGGGGTTGGTCCTGTGCCGGAGGCTAGGCTCTGGCAGGTGTCTACCCCGCAGGAAGAGGGGTAGATGAGGGCCTACTGTGAGCCTGGGTCCCGCACGGGCTGGAGTGGGCTGTCTGGGCATGGCGTGTGCTGCCGCAGTAGTCTGCTGGTCAGAAGAGGTGGTTCTGTGTCAGAGCCTCAGGTGGGTATCTGCTCTACAGGTGGAGGGGTGGACCTGGGCCTACTGTGAGCCTGGGTCCTGCACAGGCCAGTGTGGTTGACTCCCTACTTTTGATTTTCATTTAGGCTAGTAAAATTAATTTTTTCTATTATTAGTATAGCAAAATGGTATTGAAACTTTTATCTTTTCTTTTTTTTTTTTTTTTGTCTTTGACAGGGTCTGAGAGAGACGAAACATCCATATACCTTTGTGTCAAAGGAGGGTTTTAGAGAATTACTTTTGGTCAAAGGAGCTCCTGAAAAGGCTATTCCTTTGCTACCTAGACTAATTCCTGTGCTAAAGGCAGCACTGGTATGTTGTCACTTACTTCCTTGTGCTTTTAATTTAAAAATCACATGATAGAAAAGAGAAAACTCTAACATAGAATATTTTATGCCTTCCCCCTACTTCTGTATTATATGCAAAGTAGTCCTTAATCTGTGATTTTGCTGTATGTACAAAATGAGGCCACTCTTATTCAAGGCCAGATGATTATGAAGACACCTTTAGAAGATGTACTAACTGTGTACACAGGGAAATTTTGAGTAATTAGAGGAAGTAGTGAACCTCAAATTAGTCTTTCTGTAAGCTAGATGTATTTTAGCTAATGATTTAGTTATGATGATAATTTTTGGTTTTGCTTCTAGAAGTCCTGTATTAAAGTTATTTTTGAAATTTTGTTTTTTATTATTCTCTTTTAATTTTAAATGTTTAATCTTACTTTTTTCCCCTACCTGTTTGCCCTTTGCTAACCTATCTTCCCTTTTTTTTTCCTTCTTTTTCACTCCTGCTTCTGTATCTCCAACTAACCAACCCAAAAGGTCCATTCAGATGATGAAGTGTTTGAAAGAGGATTGTGTGCTTTGGTGCAGTTAAGTGTCATAGTTGGTCCTTCCCTAAATGATCATCTGAAACATCTGCTTACCAGTGTAAGTACTGCAAATATTAGATGTATATACACACACACACACACACACACACACATATATGTATATATGATTTAATTTCTTCAAGTTAATCATTCAAATATCTCAACCTTAAAAAACAAAAAGGAACTCATCATCATCCAAACCAGAAAATATTGAGATTGGACTTAGTAATTCATAATGCATTTTACTAGTGGACAGTAAAAATGGAAGTGCTTATAAGAGCAGAGTTTAGACAAATAATGAAAAGTAAACAAAATTGAATTTATAAAACTTAATGAACAGTATAATGGTATTACACTTGTGTTAATTAGCTATGAATTATAAGCAGTGTCATACACCCTGCGCCTTGGTGTCCAGGGTTTTTATTGCAGTCTGTCACTTGGGCATGACTGCCTGCCTGCCTGTGTATTTAGAGATTAGTCCATAACCTTCACAGAATCTAGCTGATACTTTGACCCAAGGCCCCCACCATAAGTCACATTGTTAGTGTGAACCATCTGATATGGCCAAAAGCCCCCAGGATAATAGAGATACTCCTGTGTGGCAGGACATTCTAAAAGCTTAGAGGTTATCATCCAGGAGGTTAGTAAAAAGGACCAAATTTTTTTTTTAGGTAAGGGTAATCAATACACCAGTAGGAAGTCCTGGCTGGAAATATCCACAAAGAGGATGGGGGCCAGGTTCAGTGACACATGGCTGTAATCCCAGCAACTTGGGAGCTAATGCAGAAGGATCCCAAATTCAAGACCAGTCTTAGCAACATAGCAAGGCCCTAAGCAACTTAGCCATTCCCTCTCTCTCAAAAAAAAAAAAATCCAAGAAGGTGGGGAGACTACTGCACAATCTGAAGAAAGTGAAAGTGAACTAAATGACTGTGACTCTCTTTCTTTCAAGTTGCCCTTCTCTCTTTTTTTTTTCTTTCTGATAGTGTCTTCTAATCCTGCCTAATCTTTGATGATTGGCTTGGCTGACAGGCCCTTTTATTCAATGTTCAATGGTGTGAAGTATTTCCATTGGGTTACTTTTTATTCCTGAGAGAAGGAAGGACCAGAAACCAACTTTATATGGCCTGGGCCTTAAAAATGATGTCTATTTTATATAAATTTTAATGAGATGTTTCTTAAAAGAAGCCTTGAAATCTCAAATTATGGGATGTTTATCAAGTTTTATTTATGTCTATGGCTGAACTGTTACTTTTTCAAATCATTTCAACCTCTGCATCATCTCCCCACCTTCACCCATGGTCTTCAAAAGCTTTCCAAGAGACTAATGGACAAGAAATTCAAAGAGCCAATCACAAGTGCATTACAGAAGCTAGAGCATCATGGTGGAGGTGTAAGTAGAATATTCATTAAGTCATGTTTTTGGTTTGGTTTTAACTTTTAATTCTATTATAAAATTATTTATTAAAATCTATTATCTCATTTCAGCTATAAGTAAACATGTGAAGGTAATATTTTCATTTTAGAGCTCACAGTTTCTGGGACTCAGGTCACAGTTTCTTGGTACTCAGGTCACAGTTTCTTGGTAACCCAGTGACTATTTATTTTTCACTGTGCTCACCAACGCACACCATGCGTTGTAGCTTTAGCTTCTTCCTTTAAAATATTTAAAATGTTTTGTTTTGACCATTGAAAAACTCAGAGGAAAAAAATATCTCATTTACAGAGCTCATGGAAGACAGAGTTTTTCCCCCCTCCACTTTTATTTATTTGGTGCTGGGTATTGACCTCAGGGCTTTGTAGATGCTGAGCTGGTACTTTCCCATTGAGCAACACTCCCAGCTCTCTTTTTTCCTTTTAATTTGCCATCTTTTCTGCCTCAGAATTTAAGAATCTATCATAAGGATTGAAATGACACTTCTAAATGACTGGGCAATTGAGTTTCACACATGCGCGCGCACACACGCACACACACACACACACACACATTTTGAATAGTTCAATTGATTATTCTAACTTTTCAAGGTATTTTGTTACTATTTGGTGTCAAATAAGTAGGTTAATTGTATTTTCATCATTTGAAAGACGTGTTCACATAATTTAGTTTTAGAAATATTTTCATACAACAGTCTTGTTTTGGAGATTATGGTTTATCAGATTTTAATAATATAACCACATGTAATTATTTTAACAATGAATAACTTTGTTTCATTTTAGGTACTTTGTAAAGGAATTAATTGTAAGAAAATTTGTAAAATCATAAAAATTGTAAAATGGTGAACAATTTAGTTTAAACTTTGCCTAAATTACCTAATTCCAATAACTTTTTTGATTGTATTCTTTTCATAATGAATGCCTTGATAAAGTTTATGAAGAGCCAGTAATTCCCTAAGCCTACTAGATAATAAATTTCTATGTTGTGATTTAAGACCTAGGCAGAGGGTTAGTATTCACACATCTTGTTGAGAACTAGCCATTAATCAATCCAGTGACTCTTAGCAGAAGTAAAATACTCACAATTCTCTGTACCAAGAATTTAAATTCAAAATGTATTTATCCTTTCTCCCCTATGAAATGGAAGTAAATAGATGCTACATACAGATGTCAGCTTTTTAATATGAAATTCTCCCTAAACGCTTTTCCATGTTCTGTGGACCTGTGCAGATTCAGACAGTAAAAAGTGTGTTTGTTTGTGTGTGTGTGTGTGTGTGTGTGTGTGTTTGGTGTGGGGCTATTAGCATGTAAAGAGATTTTAAAACAGCACAGATAGATTGATAGCTGGAATACAGAGGATGTGCTTGACCAATCCCAGGGTCCTAGAGAGAGTAATTCTTTTTTATTGCCACATAATCTCATTTGCTTTGAATGATATTAAGACAGATTTTTTTAAAAAATAAAAGAGAGATTTTATAGTTATAAGGGCTCTAAGGTATTGTTTATTTTCTTCAGATATCTGTACTCTCCTTATGTCCTATGTAAAACTTTAGTAATAATTCATGTAATTGCAATAGAAAAATTTCTACTGAAATTGCGTATCAAGGACTTTCTCTTTGCTTCATTAGTATCGTGCTTGCCTTTGGTACTTTGCAGTTCTTCATGAACTTAATGAATCATGTTTCTCCTCTAAGAATTTCAAAACTTATTAAGTTTCTTTAAATGTCAAAAATTAGTGTTTTTAAAAAGATTCTTCTTTATTGCAGTTTCACTTTTCTTAGGGTCTCTGTATATTATAATGATGTGAAGATCCACCTTCTGGAGAAATAAATAAAACATGTTACAGACAATGAGTTACTTCTTGTAAATAATATTTTTGCTACCTGCCTTAAATTGTGATGAGTTCATTCCTAGCCTAATTTAATTTTCTTAGTTACATGCTTATTTGTTGTGGGAAAGCCATACACTTAAACATACCCTGATCTTTCTTTATTGATTATATAAGAGCTTACTTCATGACAGGTACTCTTCTGTGTACTTTTAGGCATCAAACTCACCTAATCTTTATTAACAATCCTCAGAGGTAGAGTTTGTTGTTAATCTCCTTTAAAGATCAAGAAACTGAGGTGCAGAGCCCAGGTTTGACAATGAAATAACTGAGAGAAGCTGAATTTGAATACTGGTCTGATTCCTAACTGCTTCTCCAGATACTTTTTAAAAAAGGAAGAAACAATCTATATTTTATTTAACTCAGAAAAGAAAAGGTCTACTTTTCATTCCATCATTTTGTTCTTACCCATTTTGTTTTGGATACTTCTTAGGCACACTTCTGCACATGCTGATGCTTGTTAGCATAGTCTTACATGTTAGTCTTCATGGCATAATGATATTGCACTATTTTTCTGTTGGCAGGGAAGCCTTATAATCATCAAATCCAAAATTCCAACATACTGCTCGATATGCTCTTGAATAAGGGAGGCAAGAGAAGTCATCTTCCTGCTGACAGGTCTCATACACTGACCATGGATACCCACGAAACCTTGTTCAGTTCAGTTCATTCTTTTGTAAATCACAACCACAGGTCATTGTTTACTAGGTTAAGGTAAGTATATGTACCTGCCGAATCATAGTGAAGGTTACTCATCAACAAAAAGGAATGGCTAATAATGGAAGGTTATTAAAGGAACTTTTGTAATAGTATAACTTTGTGGTTTTTCTTCGTCTTTTTATCATTTGTGTGAAGAACCATTGAGTTTATAAGATCAGGTGTGTTTGTATTTATTTTCTAGTGCTTTTTTAATTTGTAACACTTGCAGTTATTTGTAGCTGTATGTTTATGTTTATAGGGTTTTTTTTTTGCCATTTCTTAGTTTTTATATATATCAAGCTATAGAAATTTCAAATATTGGATTAATCCTTGTGAATTCACTATTTTTTATTTGTAAATAAATATGTATTTTATTATGTAGAATGCTTGGAAAAATTACTTTCCAGAGTATTCTACTTTTAAGAAATTTTTTAAGTGTGTAAATTCTACTGCAGGTTTGTTGTTTATTACAACTTGTTAAAACTACCTAAACTTCAGGTGTTAATTGTATTTAAGTAAATGTTATTTTTGCATTTCATAGCCTGAAAATATTTATGAATATATACAGATATTCAGGAATTAAAATCTTAAAACTTATATTATTCAGTGACTTTGTTGTGCTTGCTTATGTTTAATAGTTAATTTAGCATTTTATAAGAAATTTTAAGATATAACTTATTGCATGCCTGTAATCCCAGCAGCTCAGGAGATGAGGCAGGAGGATTCCAAGTTCAAAGCCAGACTTATCAATGAGTAAGGCCCTAACCAACTTAGTGAGACCCTGTCTCAAAAGAAAGAAATATAAATAGGGCTGGGGATGTGGCTCAGTGTTTGAGCACTACTGGGTTCAATCCTTGGTACCAGAATAAACAAAAACGATAAAGTGTACAGATATAGTTCAGAATTTTTGATGTCATAGCTGACTCTAGATCATTCTGGAAAAGGAAGACATAGAGGAAGAGAAATAGAAAACAAGAATAAGACCTATCTTACTGACAAGAAGAGAGGCTATAATGAACTTGAGTATCGATACTAAATCCAAAACAAGAATGATACTTACAAAGAATGGAGATGTGAAATCACTACTTTACATGGAAGCAAATATCTTAAATCTCAGAAGCATCTAAGAATGCCCTTTCCTATTCTGTCCCTCAAACACCTGGATTAACCTCTTTGCAGTGCCCACTTCATTTTATTTATTGATTGATTGGTACTGGGAATTGAATTCGCCGAGCCCTATCCCCATCCCTTTTTTGTATTTTATTTAGAGGCAGGGTCTCACTGAGTTGATTATGGCCTTCCTAGGTTGCTGAGGCTGGCCTTGAACTTAGGATCCTCTTACCTCAGTTTCCCAAACTGCTGGGATTACAGGAATGCCCCACCACTCCTGGCTGTAGTGCCTTTTTTATATAGTCCCACAGCTGCCTGCCCACTGGTCTTGCTTTGATTTTTCTTCTTCGTATTCAACACCAACCAAAGATATGTAATTTAGACAATGCTGTACAATTGTACTAGATTAAAAACATCATTTAAAAATAATGTTAGAATAAAGACTTATAACAGACAGTAGAGTTATAAACACTTTATTTTGCTTTTATTTTTCCCTTTTGAAATACAAAATGTGCACATTGAGTTTACACAAACACACGATGGCAAATTTCAGTGTACATGTATTGTACTACTCTTAATTTCTACACTGGTGATAGCAGGGCAGCTTTCAACATCCTATCTCTACACCAGAATAGATAACCTGATTTATTGTTGCAAAGACAGTTGCAAATTTCCTCCTCTTATAGCCTCTTGGTCTTTGTGATATTCTACAAAACAGGGAAGATATGTTTATCTATGGTAATGTGGCAATTTTTACAGTTTTGACTTAAGAATCTGAATTGTTGGAGATTTATGATAAGCTAAATCATAGTACAATCCAAATGAGTTATTCAGCATTTATATTCATTTTCTATGAAATCTTGAAATTAGTTCTCAATATGATAGAATCATTGGTGCTTTCAAAGTGAATTCTGCTTGCTGTTTGTTCCTAATAGCTTTGGGGTAGTCAAGGTTTCTTTGTCCCTGAATGGCTTATAATATAAACATGCTGTGAGGAAGTCCGATGAAAGGAGATGAATTGGCCTTTAATGCTGTTAAGGATTACTTGTTATTAAGCATTACTATGTATTGGAGGACAGATATCCTGACCCTTTGCATATGTCTGTAAACATCCTTAGTTTCACACCTTCTTGAACTTCACATAATGACACAATAGAAAATGAACCACCTGTAAGATTGAACAAATCCAAAATTTCATATATATATATGGCCTTGGCTATAATATGCATTATGGAAAATTAAGAAATGCTTATTAAAATAAGTTTTATTAGGCATATGCTGATATCTGATAATAAACTAACTTGTTAGATGTTATAAAAAATGCCAGTAAATTAATGTCTTTAACAGAAGGTGGGAGATACATAGTGATTGGGACTATGTTTTTTTAGTTTTGGTAGTAATCTTGTTAATGTTATATAAATGGAATTAAGTGAAATTAAATTTGGAAATTAAATGCCGATGCAGATATTTTAGAAAACCATTTAAAATCCTAGGACTGAATACATACAAATGTGTAGCAAAAACACTGGTATTTTAAAATCACTGATATGTGAAAGCCTCAATAATCCCATGGCTAAAGAATCAAAACTATATGCCAAATTCTATTACTTTTGAATATTCATAGAGTTTGAAATGAGTTAGAACATCTCATGGACTCAGTAACATTATGAAAAGGATGCAAATTTATAATGGAAAAAATCAGATCTTCAGGGGATTGTTTTATATTAAAACAAAGCTTGTTTGCATAATATGCCTCAGTGTAAAGCTGAGCAATCTATGCTAAAAGTGGTAGCTCCAACTTAAGTGTGGTAGGGTAGTTCACATTTATCTGTTTGAGGATCTATTTGACAAGTTATATCACATTTTCAAAGAGCTGCATGGAGCGCATTATGTTTTCATCCTGTAAGGGAGAAACAGAGGGATTAAATTCAGCATATCTGCCATGGTAAGTTATCTGTTGTGCCTTTTAAGTATTGCCTCCTCCCACCAACTTCCTATGCCAAAGCTAACATACTGTTTGCAAATGTAAATGACTCTCTATCCACTTTCCACATGATTCCCAGGAGAGTCTGTTTAATGTATTCTGAGTGTACCAGGCTCAGATGCTTTATTTAAATCTTGATGTTAATAGAGAATATTTCTCAAATGATAATGCCAAAATGGAAACCAGGAGGCACTGGTAATTCAAAGTGAGCAAATGAGAATTTTGACATTTCAGGTACATCACAAGCCAAATCACAGAAGATTTATACAGACGCAAAGAAACTATGTGTGTTGAGTTATGCCCCAGCTTCCTAAGGATTGGTGTTTGGGGCATGGGAATCTGGAAGGTGGATTAAGAAGAATGAATATTCGCAGTAATTGTGCTTCTGTTTCTGTGTCTTCCAGTTGTGGCTAAATCTGTGTGGCCTTTAGGAGCCTCTAAAAATGATATGAATTTGTTGGGACAACCCAACTACTATGTATAACTATAAAACTGCAGTAAAAAAATTAATTATGCCCCACAAAATAAATAAAATTAAATGAAAAAAATGAATAGCCTCAAATCAGAGAAAGGATTGGTTAGGAGAAACCCTTGCACATGGCTGTGTTCAGTTTACCATATTCCATAGAAATGAGCTATGAGGACAGACTGGATTCTTTAGAAGCTCTTGTCAATTTTGTGAATGTTCTTTGTGAGCTATTTATAGTCATGGTAAATAGTGGCTGAACCAATAATGGCTTGAAACCAAGTAACGACACCACCATTAGGCAGGATAATGTTACCATGTTAATATTTTGAAAGACCATTACTTTGAAATATGATCTAAGAAACAGGCATGCATCAGGCAAGATAAAGAACAATAAAAAGTAAGGGAAAAAAAACCTAAAGCATCAAAAAATTTCTTTGTTTCCATCATTACTTTAGAAATCCTTAATTGTGGTTCTACCTACAAATCTAGTCCAATAATTCTAGTGAGCTAACACTGGATTTCCCAGATTTCTCCTTTGAGAAACTTTATAATCTGCATTTTTTGTGACTGAAGACCTTTACTGGCTTCAGTTAAAAAGCCGTTTCTTGCTTACATATACCAGAGCAATAATGTTTCTTTTAGAAATAGGTTATAAGCTTGACTTGTGATATATATGTGACTGTATTGAAATTCTAATTCTATGGAGACATGATAGATGTATACATATAAGTCCAGGAGAAGAGCCATTCAAGTTGCTTATGTTTTATTGTCAATAGTGAATATTCACTGAGGATTTGGTAAACCAAAACACAGTCCTTATATAATTTTTGTATCTCTAGGGCTTTGTACTTATCCTAACTCAAGGAAGCACTATGTAATGCTGATTGAATGAATGTATAAATTGACACTTGTTTTCAGAGTAGTAGTTCTTTCTTATACATTGTAGGAGTGCTGAGTTAAGACATTTGATCTTTATATTTTTCTCAGTTCATGTTGTTTACCTGTTATGGAAACAAAAGGGGCAGTTCTTTTCCTGTCAGTACTTACTTTTTGGCAACTTTCGATGAATTCATCTATGGTAACGACCCCATCTTTATTTTTGTCCATTTTCTGTTCAGGAAGAAAAGAACAAAACATTTTATGCACACTTATCTTTTGCTACCCTTACACCAGAATCCAATGGCCAAAGTGGATAAAAAGAAAGCCCATCTGCTTGTTTTATGTGGAAGAATTGCATCATGGCAGGAATTTGAGGTTTCTTAGGATACAAATCATATGACCAAATCCTTCCATGCTGTGCTTTTTTTTTAGTACAATGGGAAGGTCTAGAGTCACTCTGCCCTAGGTAAAAAAAATCCTGTTTTCTAAACATGACAGCTCAGACAATTTGCTCTACTTTTAGAACCATGGTTTTCTCATCTGTAAAATGGACAAATGAGGGTTTATAACTTCATACATTCTTGTGAAAACTGAATGGAAATAAGTGAAAACTTGTGAAACTTGAGAATTGCTTACTGATATCATAAATGTTCAATGAATTATCAGGGTTACAATAAACTCAAAATTATTAAATTAGCAAGATGGTTAAGTTTTCTATTGTTCTGTCCCTTTCAGTAAAACTTGTCTTCCTTTGCCTTCTTTTGAATCATCACAGTGGCTTGCAAATATCAGGAAATTTTCTCCTAGTTTCCCTCCCTCCCTGACTTCTGTTTTTATTCCTACCTGGAAAAATGTCTCAACATGTTGTCTGGGAGCATCTTCTTTGAGGACAGGATATGTGCATTTACCCATCATATCATATATTGCTTTCATTATATCAAGCATTTCCTGGAAAAAAAGAGCCACACAAGTCTGTATACAAAGTATAAAGAATGTAAGAAACTGACAGATTTTTTCCAAATGTTTCAAATTTTTAAAATTCTTCTTTGATTCTTCATGAGAGGCCTTTTTGTTGTCCCAAAGGCAAAACCAACAAACAGCTTTTTGCCTTTTGCAGCAGAATCAGAATGTAAGAATCAATTTTGATTTAGTTGCAAAATGAAGCAGATTTCAATCAATAAATGGGCAAATGAACTAAACAGACACTTCACAGAAGAGTAAATATGGTCAACAAATATATGAAAAAAATATTCAACATCTCTAGCAATTAGAGAAATGCAAATTAAAACTACGCTGAGATTTCATCTCAGGCCAGTCAGAATGGTAGTTTATCAGGAATACAAGTAACAATAAATGTTGGCGAGGATGTGGGGGAAAAGGTACACTCATACATTGTTGGTGGGACTGCAAATAGGTACAACCACTATGGAAAGCATTATGGAGATTCCTCAGAAAACATGGAATGGAACCACCATTTGACCTAGTTATCCCACTCCTTGGTATATAGCCAAAGGATGTAAAATCAGCATACTGTTGTGATGCAGTCACATAATGTTCATTGCAACTGAGAATACCCAGGATTCAGGTAGTGTGTCCTTTTAACACCATTAGGTCTGGGAGTCTTATATGAATAGCCTGCCTGGAAGTATGCTTGGAGAATCCACCATTGTATCAGTTTATTCTCATGAAACACAAGTCAGAGTACAATCCATATGATTGCAAAATTGCTTGTTTCCATAGGGGTCATGTTTTATAAGAAGAAAAAGGTTTCTGGCCAAGTATTCTCCCATGGTTTGGACACATCTTTTCCCATCTGGTTCTGAGCACAGTATTTATTCAATTCCCAGTATGTATTAAAAATGCCTATAGGAGCTGGGCATGGTGGCACATGTCTATAATCCCAGCAGCTCAGGAGGGTGAGCCAGGAGGATCTCAAGTTAAGAGCCAGACTCAGCAACTTAGTGAGACCCTAAGCAACTTAGTGAGGCTCTGTCTCAAAAAATAAAAAGGGCTACTACAGTTGTGGTTCAGTGATTAATTAGCCATTGGGTTTAATCCCTTGTACCAAAAGATAATAACAACAATAATAACTGCCTGTAGGAAGTAAAGGTATAATCTTATATATTTTCTTTGGAGATGATCCTAAACTAGTCCTACCCATTTAAAATTTTTTAATTAGAATATGACTCTCTTCTATCACCACATACTTTGGATTTCCTGAAAAAAAATTTAAATTAATAATTGCAATTGTTCAACATTTTGAAGAAATGAAAATGGTCCAGAGGAGAGCTGTGTTGGTGGCATTTCTCTTACCTCTTTAGTGATGTAGCCATCTTTATTTATGTCATACAAATTAAATGCCCAGTTGAGTTTTTCCTGTACTGTCCCTCGGAGTAAAATGGAAAGACCTTTGATGAAATCCTAAAAAGAAACAAAAATACAATTTAGAACTCTAATAAAGTTCTCTCTCAAATAATGGATGCAACGTTAACAACCCTCTGGATTTTGAACAATCTATTTAGCAAAATGACTGAAGTGTTTTTATTTGTCTCTTGGAGATCTTTGCAGGAATAAAGCTCTCCCAATTCTTAACATTCTCGTAAGGAAACTGAGTGTGATATTGGCTTTCTAATACAAGTGAATATACTTTACCAGAAAGATTCTGTTTTTATTTTATTTTTAGGGGGTGCTGGGGATTGAACTCAGGGACACTCAACCACTGAACCACATCCCCAGCTCTATTTTGTATTTTATTTAGAGACAGCGTCTCACTGAGTTGCTTGGTGCCTTGCCCTTGCTGAGGCTGGCTTTGAATTCACAATCCTCCTGTCTCAGCCTCCCAAGCTGCTGGGATTACAGGCATGTACTACTCCGCCCAGCAAGATCCTCTTTTTAAAATGCACATAATATACTTCCAGTGAAAGATAGCCACTAACAATAAATGTGGGCTTTCCATAAGCAGCAGACTGATCAGAGTCGTTAATTAGAAATCAAGTTATCACATGTGGGCAGTGGCTAAGAGCTTGGGCTGGAAGCCAGACAACCTGGATAACATGCTTACCTACTTCTGTCTTCATTCAGGATAGAATGTAGGGTGAGAGGAAAAGAGGATTCAAGGAAGGCCACAAAAAATTCTTAATATTTTATAAACAGGGAAAAGAAGAGAAGCTGTAAAAGAATCTTAAAAAGCAGTTGATAAAGGAGAAAGAGGGTTTTTCCTAGAAGGGACTGTTCGTCTTGATTCAGGCTGCTGCTGAGGACAGAACAGTGTTCCCTGGACCAGAAACACAGAGGTCACCACAGACTAATGGGAAAAGTTTCAATGGAGAAGAGGGAGACAAGAATGGTTTCTAATAATGAGCATATTGATTACTGATAGGAACAACCTTAAAAATAAGAGTAAGAAATGGACTGACAGTCCTGAATAGGTGGGAGGGCTCCAGAATGCAGGTGGATGGAGTGAAAGGAGGAGGTTTTTTCCCTTAGCTGGCACAGGAGGGCATATAGCAAAGGTAAAAAGCAAAGGTTTGAGGAGAAAGGAGAAAGTTCTGCTGCTAGATAAGGAGATGATTTGTACAAATTAAAGGAAAGTAGGATGTTATGGTTTGGATATGAGGTAACCCCCATAGCTCCTGTGTTAATGCAGGAATATTCAGAAGTGAAATGATTCAGTTATAAAACCTAATCTGTCCATTCTAGTTTGAGTGGACTGACTGGATGGTAACTGTAGGCGGGTGGAGTATTACTTGAGTAGGTGGGTCACTGGGGGCATGCCCTGGAAGGGTTCACCTTCCCTGCAACCCCTTCCCCTTGCTCTCTGCTTCCTGTTCACCAGGAACGGAGAAACTTCCATCCACCACAGCCTTCCACCATGTTGTTCTGCATAACCTTAGGCCCAGAACAATGGAGTTGACTGACCATGGACTAAATTTTTGAAACCTTGAGCCAAAATAAACTTTCTCTCCACTAAGTTTTACTTTTCAGGTATTTTGATCACAGTGATGTAAAGTTAATGCCGTGGACCTTCCTCAAAATATTTTCTTTCTCCTGGAAATGAAATATTTAATATACCATAACTAAGAAACAATGACACCCCTTGGAGTTCTGCACTATACAACTTGTACAACTGTAAGCTTTGGCTTTTTAAGAAGTTGTACCATAGTCCTTGCAGAGCATAGGAAAATAGCATTATTAAAAGGTGAATACATGACTTTTAAGTGCTAGAAGAGGTCATCAGCTCAGTGTAAAATCATACATTTCATATTATGAAGCTATAGTTACATGTCATTAGTTGAAATGGAGAGCAGGATACAAGGTCTTTGAAAACATGCTTAATGCAATGGCTCTCAAAATTTAGCATGCAGAAGAATCGAGGGCTTGCTACCACACAGCTGGCTGGGCTTCCACATCCAGAGATTCTGATTCACCAGGTTGGGGCTGTGCTCATGAATTTACATGCCAAACAAGTTCCAAGAGGATGCCTATTCTGCTGGTCTAGGGAACACAGTTTAGAACCATTGGCTTATAGGATTCATTGTTGGCATTGGCTTCACAACCAAACAAAACACATGGGAGTCAAAGTGAGAAATTTAAAGATAGCCCTTTTAAGCTGGGTGTGAGGCCACATGCATTTAATACATGTGACTAGGGAGGCTGAAGCAAGAGGATCACAAGTTTGAGGCCAGCCTCAGAACTTGAAGAGGTCCTAAACAACTTAGCAAGGCCCTGTCTTAAAATTAAAAAAAAAAAAAAAAAAAAATTAAAAAGGGTTGAGGATGGAGCTCAGTGACACATTGCTCCTGGCTTCAATCCCCAGTCCAAAAAGAAGGATAGCCTTTTTAGCATAGGTGTAATCTTCTACTGTTCACCTCCCTAGCAGGCTTCTCATTCCTACTGGTGCTCCATCAGCTCTGTGGAGGCTCATGCCATCCCTGGCTCTAGTGATAGAACATGACCTAGGCAAAACCCGGCTCTAGCTCTAGTGTTCTAGTGACAGAACATGACCTAGGCAAAACCCGGAAGCTCACTTCATCTATTCGGGTAAGATAATTAGAATTGTGGTTGGTACAGGATTGAACCTAGTCCAAGTTAAAGAATTTCTCAGAACTTTTGGAGTCTTGCTAGGACTAAGAGGACATATATGCTTTTTTTCCTTTCTTGTGCTTCAGGAGCAATTAATCATGGAGCCCAAAGGCTGCAGATAATCTTCTTGCCAACTATACATGGGCTCACCCTGAGGATACAGCTAGCCCTATCTTTGGTCTTATCCTTCCTGTGAGTTAATAACATTGTTACAATGCTTTTATCAGTTGGTATATGATTTTCTAATATTTGTGAACAAAAGTACGCTGATTCCCATTCTGACATCCAACTTACACCTTCCTCTTAAATACTACAAACCCTGAAACTTCATAGTTAAAAGATCACTATGATCTTTGAGAACCCCTCCTTTGATCTCACATAGTGATAGCAATGATGCAGTTATTTCTGTCCAGGTGTTTTTGTATTTTGTTTTTTGTTGTTGTCATTGTTGTTTTCGTGGTTCTGGAGATTGAACCCAGGACCTCATGTGTGCCTGTCAAGCACTCTACCATTGAGCCTCACCCCAAGTCCCTACATAGTTATCTCAAAAGAGGAATGAATACCTTTGATTGTTCAAAACAAAAACCAGGATTTGTCTTATCAGAGTTTTGTGCTTTTCAGAATGGGGATTGAAATGTCTCAGGCAGGAAGTGGCAAGACTCAAAATGACAACAAAAACCTCTCCAAGAATACTGTGCACGTTTACTTTTATCTGTGTAAGGAGGTTATATCTGTTCCTCCATGTATACAAATGATAAGGCAGTGAGAGAACTATACTGAATTCTAGTTTTCATTCTCTTATCAAGGCAAAAGGAGAAAGGTATAAAGGTCTGATTTTTATAACAAACTGCTCTTGTCTAGCATTGACCTTCATGCATCTGCTAAGGCTTTACAGAATGTCTCCTGAATCTCCACTTGTCAATCAAAGCCCACTGTGGCTGAGAATGATGCATTTGGGGACAGTTGCAACAAAGTGCAGATGAGAACACTCTTGGTCACTCGCCAAAGGTTAAAAGGGTTAACTAGTTAGGCAGTGAGACTCTGAAGAGTGTTCATTCATGTGTTCAGTATATTTCTTATTTTATGCTTGCTTTGATAGTTTCACAAAGCAATTTAAGGTTGTTTATTTTCCCTAGCATGACCTCTCTGAATAGGTCAAACTTCCACAGTGGTTGAGTTACTATTGGAAATATTTGAAAGATACAATTTCAGGTATTACCTAAAGTTTGCATTTACTTGACACTAAAAAATATATCAGCATGTCTAAAAAATAACAGGAAATATATTTACAAGATTTGTAGGTTAACTTTACCACATAGAAGAGCTAATTTCCTTATACTTATTGAAACACAATAATGTCTACTTAGATATTGTCTTGGAAGATGATTATAGCCACATTCAGTTAAACTAGAAGGAAGTTCTCAGATTTAATATCATATCACTGGTGGCTTTTAAAAATTGATGAATTTAAAAATAATATTCATAAATGTAAATAAAAAATAAACATGTATAAAAATATAATACTTGATCTTATAAAGAAAACTGTACTGGAGAAGCATTTACTCACATACATTCCCAATACCTATTCATATTTAACATTTCCATTTTGTCTTTCTTCATGTATATCTAAGCATATATTTACAGTAAATGTCACATATATAAAATAACATGTAATAGTTATGTATACATATAAAATAATTATGATATATATAGAGAGAGTGAGTTCCATATTTTTATTTAACATTACAAGCTTTTACTTTACAATTAAAAATTCATTATGACATTATTTGAAGAACCTTATCTTAGGATGAACCACAAGAAGTTGTTTGTATTTGAATATTTTACATGGTTTAACCTAATAATGCAATTATATGAATTTTGAACATTTTGAACTAGAACCCACCATACACACACAGACACACACACACACACACACCACCCCTTTGTGTGTGCACATGCATATAAACACAATAATACACCAGAAACTAAAGTTATTACTCAGATATTCCCTTTTAATTTCTCTTCTATTCTTTTTTTTAAAATGTTGTAGACACTAATCCCTAATTTTAGTTTCTACTAATAGCTGCAATTTGAAATTTGCAACATTGCTTAGTTATATCAATATATCACAATTTATTTCACAATTACTTTCATTGCTGAATACCTAAATTTCAAATTTTCTTTACTATAAATGACACTGCACTAACATTCGTCTCTATTTCCTGTCATTTTTGACTGACTTTCTTAGGAAAGAAGAGGAAATAGTAGGTAAGAAGCCCAGCACCACTGAAATTTAATAGTAATAATGAATACAATTTGTGATATGTGTGGAAACTTGT